TTTATTGTAACTCTGCTTACCAAAAAGCTGGATGAATCTGCCCAGATCAGTGGAATTTTGTCAATTTGTATAACACTGAAATACATAATTAGAAACAAAAAATACTGGAGCTTTATCCTTAAGCTTGCTGTGAGTTGTACAACTAGGTTATGTTTTCTCCATTTTTAACAGAAAAGAAATTATCTGAAATGTTGCTAGTTTTGAAACTGTGCTTTAGTTTTATTTTATTTCTTTTTGTTTTGCTTAAGTAAAATAAGTGCATCAACTTGCGTGTACCTTCTGATTTAGGGTTAACTCTTTAACAAACGATAGAGAGAATACACTCACCCTGTCCCCTGTGCCTTCCCTTTCCTTGAGTGATATTCTGGAGTTCAGTGTAGTATCTTTATACGTGCATTGGTCATATGCAGCCGCCCTTCTCTGCATCCTTGCATCATTCCCAGTTCTTAGTATTAACTATCCTACTCAGATCACAGTTTTGTGTAACTGAAATGAGAGAGAACATGAGAGAACAGGCAATACTCTTCTATCAGCATCTGATTATTTCAATTAACACAATATCTTTATGTCCCACCCATTTTGCTACAGATATTAGGATTTCATTTCTCTTATGTTTAATTAACTAACCATGGTTGTCTCCAAAAAGACTGGAAGCATCAGCAATTTTTTCTGTTATTGGGTTCCAATTAGTGTTTTCGTTTCTAGTCTTTGAGGTATGTTTTCATTCTTTTTCCTCAAGGATGAATCCTTGCTAATTTCTACTTAGGTTACAATTCGGTTTTCATTTCCTTAAGCCACATCTGGCATCATACCCAAGGCCAGGAGGAGCCACAGTCATTCTTGATACTGCTTCATCTGAGCTGTGATGGACAAACTTCCACCCACCTTATGAGGAAGTCTATATGGACCAAGATGAATTATCTTGCCTTAGAAGCCATTATCCTGTGCATTGCAACTCCTAAAATTTATGTTAGGCTAGGTAACATGGGCAAGTGTATTTAGGCAGATGATTTTCAGCACCAAATCCTGCAGAAGAGTCTAACTCAGCCTTCCATGTGGGTTCCTTCTTCCTCTGAATGGCCTGCAGGTGTCTATAGAATACCCACATGCACACACATGGCCACGCCTACTTCCAAAGGAAAATAAAACATCAATGAAAACTTTATAATCTTGTCAAATGCTATAATGAACGTAAGCATTTAATTGAAAGTTTAATTTTGAAATTTCTTTTCATTTCTGTGTTCAAATTCTTGCCTTCTAGGAGTGAGAGATGATATTTTGAAGGCCACTGTCTTTGCGTATGCAAAAACTTCTTTAAATGTTTGGCATTTAACTTGCTTTAGGGGCTTGAGTTATACAAAGTTCCCATCTGCGTAGCGTCTACTGCAGTATTTAGATGGGAGGAGGGGAATAGAGATTATCCCCAGGGAAGAAGTTAAAGTATGTTTTTAATCCATTCATTTGGAAAGATTTTAACAGTATTATTGACATAAGATAGATGATCATGATCTGGTAGGAATGTAACACAATCCACATATATCATTTAAAGTTTTCTAAATAACCGCAGGTACAAAACGATAAAGCAAAATCATGAAATTAATTTTAATAGTATTTAATTCAATATGTCAGTCAGATCTCGAATACAGAAACCCAAACAGAGGATTGTGAAGACCCTTTTATATGATAAATTTATTCTCAGGAAATGACATTTGATAATAGAAAATTAGCTTGTCTGACAGGTCACCAGGAAGGAAAGATCATATGCAATTTTTTTTCTCCTTTTCCAGAGAACTCAGATCTATTTTAAAAGTTCTCCAATGGAATAAAAAAAAGCCACTCAGATTATCCAGTATCATTTTCTTAGTTATGAATAACTGATTGCTTAATTATATTCACTATAACTTCAAGCAACTCCTAAATTAATATTTCTTCATAAAATTTAAGAGAGGAAAACAGCGTAGCCAGGATGAGCCATCACATGTGCTTTACCCCAAGTTGCATCACTACAAAATGTGATTAGTAGAAACATTATTAATGAGATACTCTTTTTCTTTTCTGTTTCGAGTCTTCATAGTCTGGTATGTACTTTATGCTTAGGCGATGCATTAATTTGGATTAGCCACATGCCATGTGCCTTATATTCACAGATGTCTAGTATAGCGTTTTGAACAACAACAAAGGGTTTGAGGCTCCTTGTTATGTGTATTTGGGAATATTTTGTTTATTACAGGAATATTTGCTGGTACTTAAAGGCTTTTTTGCTCTTGTGATTAAAAGATGAAGATGGGGTGAAAAAATGTATATAGAATCATTGGCATCTAATAGATAAGACACTAAATATTCTTGAAAGCAAAATGTATCCAGATAACATCCCCAAATCATGATAAACCTAGTCTAAAATGATCATAGTGATGAGCGGAGAAGCATTACTGTGGAATGGAAGAAAGCTGCATTACAGAAAGAAATGGAGTAGTGAGATAGTCCGGAAGAAAGAAGTGGCCAGTGCCTTTCGTAGATCGTTCCCTGCACCTTGCAGATTTCTTTTTCAGAAATGGGAATGAACACTTGGCCTCATTGCGTTGTTGGTCTGACTGTATTCAAAGTCATGGATGAAATGAAGGCAGAGGAATGGTTTGTGATTATGAAATGGTTGAGTAATGATGGAAGTTAAGGGAAGAAAATCTTCACAATAGTGAATATCTCTTTTTAAAATGAGTGAAAATCAGTAACTATCTTTTCTGAAGACATTTAGGTTTTCACATGGTTTATCTTGATTTATGAATCTTCTGGAATTATTACAAAAATGTAAATTTACACATGATAATTTTAAATGTGTAGGACAATTGTTGACATCTCAGATCATCTGCTGAATAAAGTTGCAATAAATAAATAAACAAGCATCACTAATATTTTCTAAGAAAAAAACATGATATTTAAGATTAAATCACTGTTCAGAGGTAGAAATCAGAGTTTACAAACCATTCTTCAATTTCTTCTGTCCAATTTAGCAGTAAGTTCAGAATTAACTTCATTTTCTATGGTTAGGATATAT